TTGTAGGACCGAATTGCAACATGCTGTCGTTCTGCTGTGCTGTGGGCTGTGATAAAAGCAAATCACAATGGCTTATTTTCCAAGAGCAGAAGATGTATGGGGTCATATTGATTAAATGTTTCTGGTAAGCATCGATGTGCATTTACATTTTTTTGTATTTTACTTAGCAGGCGCTCATAAAGGAACTTGAAAAAGTTAACTTCTTGTGCGAGACTGCAGTGAACGCGGCTTTCTTGATTTGCCCGAAAACCTTCGGTATGCTTACCACCTAAAACTAATACATGAACGAGATGTTTTCTATCGTGAGTGTGAAGACATGATTTGCTCTATTGCTAATTCTATAGAAGATCATTGTTTTCAAATAACCTCAATTAACTAAATACATAAGCTTTCAGTTGTTTTCATGATGAGAATGAACAGCAATCAAATTAATATGCATCAGTATGTTTAAAATCATCTGCAATAGCTCTGCCCTGCTTTTACAGTTGCTAAATGTAAGCAGACTTTACATGTATCTTACTACTGACTACAACACAAACACAGCTCCACAGTTTATCACTTCAGTTGCTTCTTCACTCAGCATGTAGAGACACACAGGAATAACTGATTATTTCCCTTAACATGCCACAAAATGCTTTTAATATGTTTCTGTTTTGTAGTAACCAAGAGAAGTGTCTTCGCTGAAGAAATGGCAGAAGTTACTCCTCAGACACCTGTGAACACCAAGCAGTCTTGAGTCCAAGACAGTGCATCAACTTTTTATACTTCTCTGACTGAACTAACAACAAGCAGTTAGAGCCAAAGAGGAAGTAAGTTCAAGTAAATGTCTGCATTGACCATTATACCGTGTAATTTGTTGCAACAACTGGGGGGAATCTTAACTGAAGAGACTAACTGACCAACAGCAAGCTTTGGATCTGCTGAATGTGTATTTTCAAGCATTTTATTGCTGCATTCACTGTTATTTTTCTGCAAAGTGATGACTAGTGAAGAGTGTTTCTACTAATTTACTTAAAAGTGTAGCTCACTCAGGATTCTATCATCATTTACATTATTACATCATTTCTCCCTCATTTTTTTTCTGCTTTTCTGCAGAACTCGAAAGAAGATACGTTGCAGAATGCTGGTAATCAAAACAAATACATTTGTCACATGTGGACAACCTTAGGGGGAGTAAACGATTTTCATTTTTGGGTGAACTATCCCTTTAATTAGGTTTTAATTGGTAACCAATTATTGTTCTGCTATTTTGGTGTGTTTCCGATCACCAAGAAAGTCTACGCAAAGGTACTAAAGATGGCGGCCACAACAAAAAAATCAGGTGTCTGAAACCCATGAACATTAAGCATGCTAATATTGTTTATTACACCAAATCCATGCAAAAGTTGCCTAAAGTTTATGTTTAGTGCAGGGACGTGCACAGACATTTTGAGGGGCAGGGGCTCAAGTGAAAAAAGGGCACTTCTCATATTTATTTAATTTTTTTTCTAAACAAAACGTTAAATACATTAGGGGTGTATGATATTGACAAAACATATCTCAATATTTTTGGGGATTTTATCGATAACGATAATTAGATGATATTTTGCTGCGTGTGTATTGTGCTGATATCTTAAGGACTACCGTGGACAGCTGACTCCTAAAGTTTTTGATATTCTGCATATCCTGTG